GTCGTGGCTAAGAAAGATCTGAGGTGCAGACGCCTCCTGGATGGTTGCATGGATGGATGAAAAGGAATAACACATCATAGCCATCTTTATTATGCATCATGAATGCTCTATGAAGCTCTCATCTATAACCTTCATAATGCAACACAAAGCATCCTTAATTCTTAATACCGATCATTATAATGTGCATTATACAGGTATTTATAGTGTATTATATAGATTCATGTTGCATAATAAACATGTTATGCCTTTTCATAACTATTTATAGCCATATTTATAATACTTTATGAATGCATCATAATGTGTTATGAAGGTGTGTATGATGCATTATAAAAGGGCACTTCACATGAAAGTGTTACCATTTTTTCTTTGTGACAGAATCCATTCCACCATAACAATAATGATGGAACATGTCAGGATGGTGTCTGTGATTGAAGTGTAGAATTGTAAATAGTAAATAATTTCAGCAGTGGTGGATGACATACACAAACCATGTACTTGAGTTAAATAAAGTTGTGTCTTCTGCCTTAAAATGTGCCGCTTTCTGTATATCAGATGACGAACCCTGTATGCTGTCTCATTTATAATATACAACAAATGGTATGACAGTGCAAAAAGCCAAAACAAAAGAAAAAACTGGAAAGGTGACAGGTGTCTCACCAGGCATTTAAAAAACCACGACATTATTCTGACATCTCTTTCGAGTCGCATTTGATAAATGGTCCTTTCGAAGAAATACAATTATTATTTTAAATATGTCATGTTTTTGACATACAGGAGTGAAGGCAGGCTGTTCCCTATGCACACACCGACAAATTCCACATTCAACTGTTGAAACCTCTCGAGCAAAGAAATGAGGTTGTTATTTTCGATTTATAAGGGTTGATTTGAAGCCTGCCCTCTGAAAAGGAATTATGCGGATTTTTCCTACTTCAAAGGAAAAATTAAATATGGCTCCCTAATCTTAAAGTAGAGGTACCCAAGGTAAAACATTACCCCAGTAAAAGTAGAAGTCCTCCCTTTAAACTTGTACTTGAGTAAAAGTATTTGCCTTCAGGTGTACTTAAGTATCAAAATAAAAGTACCTTGATTTATAATGGCTCTGAGGTCCCATTATAATTTTTGTAACAGGACTGTTGCTAATCAACTCATTTTAGGTGAAAAGACTCTAATGTCAGTCTTAGCACACCAGTCTTATAATACAATGTCTTTAATTAGTCTGACCCAATGTGAACAGGCAGAGTTTCGGTTTAAGGTTTATTTGTAACTTTAGTTACAAATTTAAGTTTAATAAAAACTTGGATTAAACACAGGTTCAAAAATGAGTTTTCCTTTACTGTATTGCATCTGTATGTCCCTGTGCATAAACATAAACTGGCCAATTAGTGTTTGCATAAATTCATAAAGAAAAATACATTCCAGTTGCAACTGCATATGTGTACAAATTTCTATATTTCAGTCATGTATTTCCCCACAAAAACAGGTACAATAGTAGGGCTACACAAGTTCGCGAATGCTTTGATGTGTAATTCTCAATCATGTGTTTGCGCATTAACCCTATCCTGCTTTACATGAAATCTGCTGATACTCTGGTAAAATGTGTCTTGTGGAAAATCAGGATGCAATCCTTAGTATCCTTTCAGTGTCTGGGTCAGCACCCATTTGTCCAGGTCTTCAGTGTGTTTTGCCTGCTTCCCAGACCACTGCATGGCTCAATGATCTGAGTGTGTGACTCCCAATAAACTCCTGTTGAGTTTTCAAATCCCGCCTCCTCTGTTTTTGTATTTTTGTAGATTTTGTTCCTTAGAGTTTCATTTGTATCAGTTTTTTAGTTCCTGTTTTCGTGACTTTGTGTTTTTGGTTTTTTTGCTTTGCCATGGTTCTGTTTTACCTGCCTTCGTTATATTACCCATTGTTAGATTCTGTTTCATTATTTAAGTCAGCTTCTTAGTTTCCCTGTTTGAACTCCCAATTTCTTGATTTAATTATTAGATTCACCTGTTGCCTGTTTTCCCAACCCTTGTTAATAGTTTTCACCTGTCCTGTATTATTCTTGTTATCCCTCAGTATTTAAGTTCCTGCTTCAGTTCAGTTCCTTAGTGGGTGATTGTTATTGCATGTCAGTTGTGTTGTGCAGTTTGTACTTTCCTTGCCAACCTGCTCTTTGTTGCCCTGATCCCCCCTTTTTTTTTTGGTTTGTTTTGACCCCTCGTGCTCTATTTTTCTTTAGTAGCGTTCCTAGTGTTTTCAGTTTTGTTAATAAACCCTGCTTTGTCTTGTGAGCAAGTTGGTCATCCATTTTCCTTCCTGCCTGCACCATGCCTCACCCACAAACCAGAAGCTCCTCAATCCTTGACATTCAGAGATTTTGGAGGACAGTGTAGCAGGTGTGCATATTTGCAGAGGCATTAGGTTTGTTGTTTTCTCAGCATCAATCTTCGAAACAGGCAGATTCCTTCTGAAAGTACGTGGTGCCTTGAGGCCTGAAAATGCTATTTTACAGGCTCCTTCTGTTGACTTTGGTCTTGCCGACGAAGTAGTCAGTGCATCTCTACAGGCTCTGAGGAAGATGAGCGATGATGACTCACTGACTTTTTGAAAGACACTCCTGTTCCCACAACTAAATGAAAAAGAACAATGAGTTCACCACTTAGTGTTTTATGCACTGTAGGTCACACAAACCTCAGAGTCCTAGCCAGGCTCAACATTCTGGAGAGCCATTGTGGAGAGGGAGACCAGGTTCTCCAGAGGCAATCTTCATCTGATGATGGCAGTGAATTGCCTTCTCCCTCTTCCTCTTTTCTGGATGCTGCCTTCTTAAGCCCTCTGCAGAAGCTGGTAGGTGCTGTTTGCAGTGACAACCTTTCAAATGAAATCTGTGTTGCAAAAGCCATGTTAGAAGTCCACCTCTGCTGTTGCAGACCTCTCCACCATTTGCGAACACCTCCAACAGTTTAAGGAAGCATCTCTTCAGCTCCATCATCTCTATGTAACTGCTATTGTGATTGGAGTTTCATCTGCTGCATGTGAGAGTTCTTTCTCCACTTTGTCGTGTGTCCTAACACCCTTCCGATGCACAATGTTACATCAGAGAGAGGAAAACTTGGTTATTCTGGCTCACAAGAAGGCCATAACAGCTGCACTAGATATGGATGAATTTGTTAGGATTTCTGCACAAAGAAATAGAAGACAATAGATCCTACAATAGAGAATGTATAATTAGATATGATCAATGAGTCACTGAAAAATGAAAATAGGGAAGAAAAAAAAAAACTTAAAAGGGAAACAAAATAAACCCAAACACTGAGAATATTATGGGTGTGGAGTTAAAATACTAAGATTATGCATTAGTGGGTTTAAAAATATTAACTATGGTTTACTTTAGCATTTTTTTTTTTTTGAATATAAAACAGACCACTTTATAGCTTAAACATATATAACACTATCCACACCAACATCTCGAGTCTAGAACCGTGCCTGCTTGTAAATAGTCTGCACGGTTTGCAAACTCATTGTCATGCTGCCTGTAACATTTTCGTTTTGTTATTTTTTCGTCAACGATGATTTTAAAAGCATTCGGTTTAGTTTTTGTCTTTAAATGCGCGACGACGTGAAGCCGTGAGTGACGCCACATATGCGTGAGATAACCATGTATAAAACGCCGATTGTTATGAATGAGCACATTAATGCGGGTGTAAATTAACAGTACGTTCCGTCAGGTCAGTGCAGCCTCTGCAGGGTAGTGGGTATTCCTCCCAATACCACTGCACGTTGCAAAGGTAAACAATTAAGGAAATTGAAACATAATTTCTTGCTAACCTCCAACCACATGTCACGCCACACAGGTTACACGTTGGTTGACATTCCATCGCAGTGCACTTCCCTGGAATTGCAATTCAAGAAGTCAGTCTTCTCTACACTGAAAAAAAGCCCTTGGGGGCACGTGTGACATGATAGTGACAAAAAAAGACGTTATACTGTACACGGGAAATACAAATACAATAAATTATTTTCATTATTTGCTCACCGGGTTAGGGTTAGGATATATGCGGTTGGAAAATCCATGTTTGGTTGGGTATTGCGTTTAGT